TTTTTTTAGTTTCTCTTTCTGTGAGTTCATTATTGGTGTATAAGAATGCCGTCAATTTTGTGACGTTAATTTTGTATCCTGCTACTTTGCCAAATTCATTTATTGTCTAGTAGATTTTTGATGGAGTCTTTGGGGTTTTCTATATATAATATCATGTCATCTATGAATAATGACAGTTTCACTTCCTCCTTTCCAATTTGAATCCCTTTTATTTTTTCTTTATGTCTGATTGCTATGGCTAAGACTTCCAGTACTATGTTAAATAGGAGTGGTGAAAGTGGGCATCCTTGTCTTGTTTCTGTTCTTAAGGGAAATGCTTTTATTTTTTGCCCATTGAGTATGATGTTGGCTGTAGGTCTTTTATATATGGCCTTTATTATGTCAAGATATGATCCCTCTCTTCCCAAATTGCTGAGTGTTTTGTTGTTGTTTTTTTATCAGAAATGGGTGCTTGATTTTGTCAAATGCTTTTTTCAGCATCTATTGATATGATCATATGATTTTAATCTTTCATTTTGTTTATGTGGTGTATCACATTTATTGATTTGTGAATATTGTACCAGCCTTGCATCCCTGGGATGAATCCCACTTAGTCATGGTGAATAATTTCTTTGATGTATTGCTGGATTTGATTTGCTTGTATTTTGTTCTGGGTTTTAGCATCTATGTTCATCAGGGATATTGGCCTGTCGTTTTCTTTCTTTGTAGTGTCTTTTTCTGGTTTTGGAATTAGAATTATGCTGGCCTCATAAAACGAGTTTGAAAGTCTTCCTTCATCTTGAATTTTTAAAAGTAGTTTGAGGAGAATGGGTATTAGTTCTTCTTTGAATGTTTGGTAAAATTCCCCCGTGAAGCCGTCCAGGCCTGGGCTTTTGTTTGCTGGGAGAGTCTTGATTACATCTTCAATTTCTTTTGTTTTTATTGGTCTGTTCAAGCTTTCTATCTCTTCCCGGTTCAGTTTTGGGAGACTATGTGTTTCTAGGAATTTGTCCATTTCACTTAGATTGTCGAATTTTTGTCTTATAATTGTTCGTAATATTTGTTCACAATCCTTTGTATTTCTGTGGTGTCAGTTATTATTTCTCCTCTTTTCATTTCTGATTTTGTGTATTTGGGTTCTCTCTCTTTGTTTCTTGGTGAGTCTAGCTAAGGGTTTATCAATCCTGTTTATCTTTTCTAAGAACAGCTCTTTGTTTCATTGATCCTTTGAATTGTTTTTTTGGTCTCCAGGTCATTTATTTCTGCTTTGATCTTTACTATTTCCTTCCTTCTACTTGCTCTGGTGTTTTCTTTTTGTTTGATTTCTAGTTTTTTAACTTGTGAGGTTAGATAGTCTATTAGAAATTTTTCTTGCTTCTTGAGGTAGGCTTGTAGTGCTATGAACTTCCCTCTCAGAACTGCTTTCACTGCATCCCATAGATTTTGTGTTGTTGTGTGTTCATTTTCATTGGTTTCCAGGAAGTTTTTAATTTCTTCCTTGATCTTCATGGTAACCCATTCTTTGTTCAGTAACATGCTATTTAGCCTCCATGTTTTCAAATGTCTTTGCATGTTCTTGTTGCAATTGATTTCATGCCATTGTGATCTGAGAAGATGCTTGATATGATTTCAATCTTCTTGAACTTGTAGAGACTTAGTTTGTGCCCTAACATATCGTCTGTCTTTGAGAATGTCCCATGTGCACTTAAGAAGAATGTGAATTCTGCAGTTTTGGGGTGTAATTCTCTGTAAATATCTATGAAATCCATTTGATCTAGCGCTTCATTTAGAGTCTGTTTCCTTGTTAATTTTTTGTCTAGAGGATCTATGCAGTGGTGTCAATGGGATGTTGAAGTCCCCTGCTATGATTGTATTGCTGTTGATTTCTCCTTTGAAGTTTTCCAGAAGATTTTTAATATATGTTGGTACTCCTATACTGGGTGCATATATGTTTACCAAGGTTATATCTTCCTGTTGGATAGATTCTTTCAATATTATGTAGTGGCCTTCTTTGTCTTTAGTTAGGGTCTTCATTTTAAAATCTATTTTATCAGAAATGAGTATTGCTATGTCAGCTTTTTTTCCCTTTCTGTTTGCTTGAAAGATTTTTTTCTATCCCTTCACTTTCAACCTGTGTGAGTCTTTTGTTGTGAGGTGGGTCTCTTATAAACAACATACAGTGATACCTCGGTTCTCGAACATAATTTGTTCCAGGAGGACGGTCGAGAACCAAATTGTTCGAGAACCGAAGCAATGAAACCCAATAGGAAATAATGGAAACTGGATTAATTCGTTCCAAGCCCCAGAAAATGCCTATTTACTGGCCTAATTTGTATATAATATGTAGAAAAACATAAGTCTCAACAAGAAATAAAAGTGTACAGTATGTCTAAGGGTTAAATTCAGTGTAAAGCGTGACTCTCTCCACAAAGCGTGACTCTCTCTCTGCACTCACACTGATGACGCAAGCAAGGCGCGCTGGGCCGAATGAACGCCATTCGGCTCAACTCGGCTCATCTCGGAAGTTCGAGTTCCAAATATTTGTTCGGATTCCAAGACAAAAGTTTCTCGAATCTCCTGGTCGAATACCGATTTGGTCGAAATCCGAGGCGTTCGAGAACCGAGGTATCACTGTATATGTGAGTCATGCCTTCTTGTCCAGTCAGCTACTCTGTGTCATTTTATTGGAGCATTCAAACCATTCACATGTAAGGTGATAATTGATATGTTCTTATTTATTGCCATTTTTGTTTAGTGTGGTTCTATTTTTCTTCCTACTTATTCTACTAATTACAGCAGTCTTTTTAGCATATCTTGCAGTGCTGGTTTGGTGCTAATATGTTCCCTTAGCCTTTTTGTGTGTGTGTGGGAAGCTCTTTATTTGACCTTCTATTTTGAATGATAGCCTTGCTGGATAGAGTAGTCTTGGATTCAGATAGTTGATTTTTATGACCTTGATTACTTCATGCCATTCCCTTCTGGCCTGTAGTGTTTCTGTTGAGAAGTCAGCTGAGAGCCTATGGGGTTTCCTTTGTAGGTAACCTGTTGTTTGTCTCTTGCTTCCTTTAGGATTCTCTCTTTGTCTTTAATTTTTGGCATTTTAATTACTATGTGTCTTGGTGTCGGCCTGTTTGGGTTCTTCTTACTTTGGACTCTCTGTGCTTCTTGAACTTGAATGCCTTCTTCCTTCACCAAGTTAGGGAAGTTTTTTGTCACTATTTCTTCAAATATATTCTCTAACCCTTGCCCATTTTCTTCCTCTTCGGGGACTCCTATGATGAGAATATTATTACGTTTTCAGTTGTCCCACAGTTCTCTTAAGCTATCTTCCTATTTTTTAATTGTTTTTTCCTTTTGGTTTTCTGATTGGTTGATTTTTTCTACCCTGTCTTCTAATTCACTGATCCAGTCCTCAGCTTTCTGTACTCTGCTGGTTAGTCCTTCCAATGCATTCTTTATTGCTGCTATGTCATTCTTCATTTCCATTTGATTGGTTTTCAATGTTTCTATATCTTTACTCATGGTGCTGATGTCCTTACTCATACTATTGAGCTTCCTCAAGATCATGGCTCTGAACTCTACCTTTGATAATTTGCTTAACTGCATTTCATTGATCTCATCTTTGATAGAGTTCTCTTGTTCTTTCATTTAGGATTTGTTTTTTGTTTCACCATTTTGGCTTTCTCAGTGCATTTTGGAGCCTGCCAAATTTTCCCTGTGGGTGTTGGTGTTCTACTGTTTGTGGCTCCCTCTACTGGGTTTGGATGAGCCTGGGTCAGCCCACGTTAAACACCACTGTCAAATCTTACTTTCCTGGGTAGATTTGCAAGCACAGGAAAGGTTCTAGCTTTTTCCTGGTGGCTAGTAGTCTCAGTTATTCAGGGCCATGGAATGTAGCCTTGGTGTTCTTCGTAAGAGGATTTCCAGAATGTGGGATAGATGCTGGTTGTTAATGAGCCTCAATTTGCATTTCTTTGCCTCACCTGAAAAAAGCTGAATCTCCAAGTGAGGGGCTGATGCTTTTCCCCACAGCTCTGGGAAGGAGCAAACTGGCCACCGTCCTTTGTGGCCATGACTCAGCAAAAACTCTGAGTGCCCTCCAAATCCCGAGTGCCCCACTGAGTTCCAGCCCAATCCACACTCCCTCTGCCGGAGCCCCAGGTGAGTGGCTGTGGCTATTTTAGCCTCTGTCCCGGCTCTGTCCTGGGGAGCGGGCTTGGGAGTTTAACCCGAGGGCGCTGCTAACAGCTAAGACTGCTGCTGTCCCTGGGCTCCCAGCCTGCCACCCTCTCGTGCCTCTGCAAATCCTACCGGTGTCCCTGCTTATATGGTCCTGTTCCGCAGCTTTTCTGTTGCTTTTATTCAAAGATTTGTCTTTATTTTAGTTGTAATTCCCGTTTGGTCTTGGGAGATCATCTGTGTAGCTTCCACTCACTCCACCGCCATTTTTTGAGTCCTAAAGTGCCTTTCAAAAATAGCCTAAAGCCAGGCCTGACCAGTGTGGCTCAGTTGGTTGGAGTGTCATCCCATACACTGGTTTGCGTTCCAATCAGGGCACACACCTAGGTTGCTGGTTCCCCAGTCAGGGGGGCATATGGGAGGCAGTTTTTCTTTCAAATCAATGTTTCTTTCTCTCTCTCTCTCAAATTGGTTAAAAAATCATGTCCGCGGCTTGCCCTGGCTGGTGTGGCTCAGGTGGTTGGGCCTCGTCCCGTACACTGAGGGGTGTCACTTTGATTCCAGTCGGGGCACATGCCTGGGTTGAATGCCTGGTAGGGGCTTGCAGGAGGCAGTCAATTGATGTTTCTCTCTCTCTCTCCCTTCTCTTCTTCTTTCTCTAAAAACCAATAAAAAGTCTTTAAAAAATAAAAGTAAGTAAATAGTTTTAAGGCAATACTACAGGAATAGGGTTAAACGTTCTTGTTCTACTGATATGTCCAGTAAATTAGGCAGCAACTTTATCTGCTTGTTCAGAATATTTCAGCATCATCAATCAATAATTTTATGTTTATCTCTTTAAGATTCGCACAGGTTTACAGCACGAAATAATCTGGGTCTGTCAGCCCAGCTGCGTTCCTCTGGATGAAAAGCTTCTGCCCCAGCTCCTAAAAGAAGCAGGCTACACTACCCACATGGTCGGAAAGTGGCACCTGGGAATGTACCGGAAAGAATGCCTCCCAACCCGCCGAGGATTTGATACCTACTTTGGTAATGGAAATGCACATGTTTCTTTTATAACTCAGACTAACTGCAGCCATCTCATAAAACACACCCAAGTGTAATCAGATGAAATACTGTAACTGGAAACTTGAACACAGAGTGAGTCAGTCAGCACCACCATTGGGCCACTGTCTAATGCCACCTCCATAAACATGGCTCATGGTGGGCCTGACCCTGCAGGGAGGAAGTTACCTTTGCCAGGGTACTAAATGCCACGTTGGAGCCTTTGGAAAATGTGCTACCTTCACATCCCAGACCATTGCACTCTTAGAGATCCTTATTACCAAAGGGGTTACAGAAGGATTTTTTAAAAATTTTAGGCATAGCCCAATACAAGAATATGTTCTTCACAAAGGTGTGAAATATTTTTTCTCCCCGTGAGCTGTGTTCAAAGTTTTTTGTTTTTTGTATAGATGGCAGAGAAGACTTTTCCACTGGCATCCTGCTCCCCTTCTTGGAGATCTGTTTTAGAAATCACTGGATTGGGGAAGATAGATCAAAAATACAGTGGGAGGGAAAGTACAAATGGTAATAGGAAGGATAGTAAGAAATTATAAGTATTGTATGGACTTGGGAGCCCTGTAAAAACTAATGTGAAACCTAAAGTTTGTTTTAAAATGTGCCCTCTTGCCCTGGCCAGTTTGGCTCAGCGGTTAGAGCGTCGGCCTGCGGTCTGGAGAGACCCGGGTTCAGTTCCCGCTAAGGGCACGTACTTCGGTTGCAGTTTGTCCCCGGCCCTGGTTGGTTGTGCGGGTGGCAGCCGCTCGATGTGTCCCTTCACGTCGATGTTTCTCTCTCTCTCTCTCTCTTCCTCTCTCTCCCTCCCACTCTATCTGTACAAAAAGATGGAAGAATGTCCTCTGGTGAGGATAAAAAAAAATAAAAAAAAATAAAATGTGCCCTCTTGCCCTGGCCGGTTTTTCTCAGTGGTTAGTGCATCGGCCTGCGGTCCAGAGAGACCCGGGTTCAGTTCCCACTAAGGGCACGTATCTCGGTTGCAGTTTGTCCCCGGCCCTGCCTGGTTGGGTTGTGCGGGAGGCATGTCGATGTTTCTCTCTCTCTCTCTCTCTCTCTCTCTCTCTCTCTCTCTCTCTGTCTCTCCCTCCCTCCCTCTCTCTCCTTCTCCCTCTTCTTCTCCCTCCCACTCTATCTGAACAAAAAATGGAAAAATGTCCTCGGATGAGGATAAAAAATAAATAAATAAATAAATAAAATAAAATGTGCCCTCTTTAAATCTGTTATGAGCCATTGTAATTAACAACGTATTTATTTGGACAGTGGCTATCTATCTTTGTCAAGTTCTTTTTCATATTGCCCTCTCTGTCTAGCTATTTTGCTACCTACCTCCTGTTTTATATCTTCATTTATTTTCTTTTTTAAAAAATAGCTCTTTATTGCTTTTTTAGAGAGAAAAGTAGAAACATCAATGTGAGAGATACTTCAGTTGGCTGCCTCCTGCACCCCCCCGACTGGGGAGTGAGCCCGAAACCCGGGCATGTGCCCTGACCGGGAATTGAACCAGGACTTCGCAGTCCATGAGATGACGCTTAGTCCACTGAGCCACACTGGTTGGGCTCTTCATTTATTTTCAGCTTACCATATCCAAAAAGGAATACGTATTCAACATAAAACATTTACAGATAAACAATACAAAATTAGGGTGAATAGAAAATGATGGAATAGTTTCTTGGCACCAAATTAAAAAAAAAAAACACCACTGCATTGCTGTAGGTGGCCTTCACATTCAACTCTGAGATTTGAGATTTTTTTTTATGTCCAAAGCAAAAGAAAAAAAGGGTGTATAAGTCTGTAAGAGTCACATTATTTATAAGATAAATGGAAACCAGATGTTCAGGAAGAGTAAGGCATTTTCTGGCTCTTAGACCTGAGAGAAATTCCTCCTTTGGGAGAAGGTAAGGTGGAGGGCGTCCTCAAAGACATCATTTTAGTAATAAAGTGGTGGTTTTCTTACAGATGTTTCTTGAGGCATTTTCTTTTATTCAAGCTGGGGCCAGAGCACCAGAGTGCATTGTAGTAAAAGTGATTACATGGGGCCCAAACAATGCCGAGGAAGCACGTAGCTCTGTAGCGCTTGTTGGATCAGGATTAAAGTTGATCTGCAAGGACATCAGACATGAGGCCTTGTGTGCCCCACCTATCAGGGTTCTCTAACAGACGTCACTCATCAATCATGGCATTCTCTCTCCACAAACCTGGATAGATCCTGAGTATCCTTAAATGGCTGTTCAAAATCAAACTTGGATGTAAGACCTCTGTCATTTTGGAAATTCCAAAAGAAAAAACAGCCTGTACATCCTTTGAGCATTTTCAGTCAGGTGTTTGCTAAGATATGAGTCAGTACCTATACTGTGGCAAGAGGAAAAATTATGGATATTTAAAAATGTTAAAATTAAAAACCAAGTTGTATATTTAAAAATTTAGTTGAACAGAAAATGGAAATGATATGCAGGACCTAGATGAACAGATAGATACCTCACATTCCTATGGAGTGGAGACTTGCAGATAAGGAAGGCATAATGACATACAGCTGTTATCAAGGTTATGCCCTTGATGGTCTGTTAAAAAGCAGTCAGATGACTGTGGGGCTAGTTGCAAAACTCTGTGAATACACTACAAACCATTGACTTGTTCACTTTAAATGGGAGACTTGTATGGTATGTACATTATACCTCATTAACACTGTTAAATAGAGCAGTCGGAGATTTAGCTGTTCAAAAATATTTTCTCTTTTTTCCCAAAAAAACCCAGGCTGCCATCTTCTTTAGGCTCAGCATGTAAGTTCAGATTTGTGAATCACTGTTATGAGAAAGGCTCTGTGTGATTGTCACATGGATGCTTGGTGTCAGTTTGGTCAAGTGTGTGAATAAATAATTGTATTTCCGGAATCCTCCTATTTGTAATATCTTTTTTTGTAGTTCACCTTCTTTTAATCAAGTGTATTCTATGCATATTTTCTCCCAAATGATAAAAAGAGTTTACATTACAGATCACGAACCTGAAGTGATTTCCTCAAAGACTAATACCCAATAGTTATTAAAAACCCTAAAATGAGCCCCTGTGCAATGACCCCTCTGAGCACCATATAAGGGCTGAAGCTATTTTTTCATACATTTCTTTCTTTATTATATATTAATTAGCAAACACATTGAATTTCCCTTTCTGTTGTATAGGTAGGAGAAAAATTACCATTTAAAACATTATCTTAAGACGAAGGTATTGTATTCAAGACCTGGAATTTAGTGAATCATAGAAAAGGAGGAAATTAATTTAAAAAGGAATTGATTTATTATGTAAGGTGCTTTTAATTGTGATTATAGGAAACATTCAACTGGGGAAAGGGCTACGCTCTTTTTTTCATCCTCATTTTAAGGCTAATAAGCTCTAGTTTGTCAGAGATAGGTCAGCTTATTTATTTTTAATAGCTTTATCAAGGTGTAACTCACATACCGTACAATCCACCCAATTAAAGTTTATAATTAAATGATTTTTAATACATTCACAGGGTCGTGCCACTGTCATCATAGTTCACTTGTAGAACGTGTCCATCCCCTCCAGAGAAGCCCCATCCCCATTAGTAGTCACTCCCTGTTTTCCCCCAACCCCACCAGCCCGAGGCAACCACTAACCTACTTTCTGTCTCTAGTAGATTTGCCTGTTCTGGACATTTTATATAAGTGGTATCATGCAAGATGTGGTACATCTTATTTTTAATATTTTAGGAAAATATGGAACTTTTGCAGAAACAACTGTTTGTTGAGAAAACCTATTGTCTTCCATGGTTAAGTCTTACTTGTGGGATAGGCAGTTAATGCCATTTAAATTTGGGGTGAAATTTAGATCACCATAGGTAGAAAAGTCTAATCTTCGTGCCACATGTTAGTTTGATCATTTGGCCCTGTTGTCTAGAAATCCTGTTTGAAAAGGTTTGTGTCTTTCACCAGTGGGTGTCAGTATCTGACTAAAGATGATTCCTCCTAGAGCCACTTTTGTAAATAACCTTGAAGCCAGTCTCCCAAGGTCAATATCGACATTATTTGATTGCTGAATTCATTTCTGTGATCACCTCAGAATAAAAACTTGTAACAAATCACATTAACCATATACTACTTTAACTATTCGATAGCTTTAACAGATTAAGATGTTATCACCTTCACTGAATTTGAACACTGATTTTTTTTTTTAATGCATTTACTTGGAATCACTCACTTTGAGAGTTATATGATAGAATTTGTGTGCTAATGACTTGAGTGAAAAGTGGATTTGAATATTTTACAATAACACATTAATGCTGCCTGCAGGCAAATATAGAGACATTAAGAAATGGTGCTCTGATTAACCTTGTCATCCAGTTAGCCTTCTCATGGGTAATCAATTGCATTAGGCAATTAAATGCTGAAACATTAGTTTGTTTAACAAGTTTTATGCCATGCTTGCTACTTTCATCTCCCATTCTTGTTGTAGGATACCTCCTGGGTAGTGAAGACTACTATTCCCACGAGCGCTGTACATTTATCAACGCTCTCAATGCCACACGATGTGCTCTTGATTTTCGAGATGGTGAAGAAGTTGCAACAGGATATAAAAATATGTATTCCACAAACATATTTACCCAAAGGGCGACAGCCCTCATAACTAACCATCCACCTGAGAAGGTAAGTCTTACCTCTTTATTGATATCAAGATTGTGCTAAGAGAGCATCTCCTCAGATAAATGTAGGAAAAGGCCACTGTCGTGTAGGGGAAAATCTAATACATTCTAGAGGAATAATTTTCAAATTTTAGACTACAGCAGTATCAGCCTGGGAAGCTGGTTAAAAATAGAAATTTCTGGAACCCACCTCTAAGAGTCTGATCACTTATGTCGTTGTGAAACCCATATGTCAGCATTTTAAAGAAACTCCTCAAGGGTGATTCTGATGAAAGTGGTCCCTAGATTGCACTTTGAGAAATACTGTGTCCATAGTGTTTTAGTAGAAATACAGTTTTATTATTTGGTGTATTATGTGTATGTGCTATAAGTAATTAGTAAATGGGCATTTAAAAAAAATGATAGACTTATGTACAAGATGAGGTTTTATTATGGAAAACTTTCTGTTAAGAGATCAATAAACTTTAGGATCAGGGCAAGTCCTCTAACTTTGTATTCCTCTCCCACCCCCAAGATCATTTGTTATTCTAGTTTGCGTCCCCTAATTTTAAAATCAGCCACTCAACTTCTACCAAAAAAAAAAAAAAGAAGAAAAAATGCCTGCTTGGATTTAGATTTTGTTGACCCTATAGGTCTTGGGAAGAATGCTTGTCTTAGGAATATTGAGTCTTCCAGTCCGTAAACGTGGCATACTGATGCGCCTGTTCTTCACATTTATCATCCCGAAGCCATAGTGTATGTCATATGCTGGAATCTATTGACTTACCCATAGGTAAAACTAGAAGAGTTTGAATAGCCTTAAACATTTTTTTGTTAACCTAGAGTTAACCTCATGAGCTAAAGTTTAAGCTGAATTCTCTGGATTTAGCTTATATATGCCTTTAAAATCGGATCAAATATTGTGTTGTCAGATATCAAGCTCAAAATATGTCTTCATTAAGAACTGCATTAACATACCCATGAAATTAGTCCTTCAATAGGACCCTGACAGAGCTAATTACAGAATGTGCAGTGTTGTTGGTTCTTCCCATATCCTGCACTTTGCCTCCTTGACAATTACTGAAGGTCCTCAATGCAGATCACGATTTGGATTCCAGTTTGTGTACCTGTTAGACATGGTACCTGGCTGCTGCCTCCATTTTTGACATGGTGTCTTTATAGTTCTCCTTGCCGCCTCTGACTCAGGACTGGGAGTCTTCCCTGGTGTCTGTCCTCAGCTTTGCCCCACTTTTTATTATTGTGACATACTGATATCTCGGCTCAGCCATGCTTGCAGAGGAACATGGAAGAAACTGGAATATTCTCTCAAATATGCAGATTTTATTTTATTATTTTTAAAATTTTATTTTTTTATTGATTTTGAGAGAGAGAAAAAAAATCAACTTGTCAGTCCACTTATTTATGCATTCATTGGTCACTTCTTGTCTATGCCCTGACCAGGGATCAAACCCAAAACCTTGGCACATCGGGCTGACACTCTAACCAACTGAGCTACCCAGCCAGGGCTTAGACATGCACAGCTTTTTAAATCTAGAGTTATACCAATATTCAGACAGTTGGAAAGATAACTGCTAGATAATTGGCTTAAGTTCTCAGTATTCTTCTACATGTTTGGCATTTTGAATACAGCTAAAAACCCAAAGAACAGGCTAAGGTCTTAACAGAACCGGGTCCTTGTCCTGCCCTTTGAGGTATGCACCATTTTAGAGATAAGCAAACTGACTTGTTCAAGGTCACAGCTATTGGGAGTCAGAATCATATTTTAAACCCACACTGTTTGACTCCAGAGCTCAGTGCAGTCCCTGTTCACAGTTAATATCGACAAGCAGAGATTATGAGCCCCAGTGTATGATTCATCCTGACCGTATATTGGGATCATCTGGAAAACTTGTAAGAAATACCAATTCCCAATATTGTGGTTTATCAGTCTGGGTGGGGCCCTGTCATTGGTATTTAATCACCCCTCCTCCCCCACCTCCCACCAGTGATTCTGGTATGCAGTCACTGTAGACCCTCCTCAAACACAGATTAGAAGCAGAAGCCAACTGCCTTGTCCAGGGTCACAATATAATCATGTAACTATAATATGCTGCCCATAAAAATTAGTTCCCATCAAGGAACAATAGAATATTCTCTCCCAGTGTGCATAACTTGAAGCAGATAAGAGAAAGCAGCTGGGATGAAATAGTCTGTGTGGGTGGGCTGCCTGCACTGGTGCAGTGTGGAAAGCATGGGACTGAGGGAAACTGTAGGCCCAGAGCTCACAGGCCATCCACACCAGTGCTGTCCGCTTGGTGCTGCTCAGAGATAACCTGGCGGGACTGACAGATGAGCGGGTGGTCATTTTCTACCATGTCTGAAATACTCTGAAGCAGTATCCAGCATTCCCAACATCCTCAAAGTAAAGTTTCAAGCATAGACATAAATAAATGAATGAGTCAGTAGCTGAGTGATACCCCAGAAAGTTCCTTTAAAACAGTAAATGCAGATGTTTACATGTTCAGGTCCCAGTAAAATGAGGTATCACCCCCAGTTTCAGGAGCTGCATTTTATCCCAGTGTTGAATCTTTTTCTTCCTCTGTTTTGGTCGTTTTTAAATTGAATTTATTGGGGTGACATTGCTTAGTAAAGTCATATAGGTTTCAGGGGTGCAGTTTTATAATACATCATCTGTACACTGTTCACCACCCCAAGTCAAGTCTCCTTCCATCTCCATTTATTCCCCCTGTACTTTCTTCTACCTCCCCCGACCCTGAGTCTTATTCTGTGCTAATTTCTCAAGCGCTGTATATAGGTTGTAGCATAGGCGACTTGTTCTCGGATGTAAATCATTAAAGAAATTTACACAAATCCACAAGCTAAAAATGTCCCTATTTTAAAGAGCACTCAAGGGGCAAAAAGCATATGGAGCTGTTTTGTAACAAGAGTACAGCTGATGCTGGACTCGGGGACACCCTGCTAATAACCACTGTGTGTGTTGGGAAGCGACGTCCTTTCTCCTTTTCTACGGGATAATTCCCGTTGTGCTAACACTACAATGTGAAAGTAACATACTCATAAAATATCTTTTGGTTAAAAATAGCCCCCTCAACACTTTGCAGCAAACAAATAAATGTTTTCTCACATATCTAATCTACTAAAAGCTTCTTAAAGCAAATGCAGCTTTCTTGTGGTAAACCCTTACTTTCCCTGTCACGATTTGGAAAAGAATGTCTTATTTTGGAAGTCAAAGATAGAATAACAATTTAAAAACATATAATATGCTTTGTTTTTTAAAATTGATCCTTTAAATTAGGAAAATATACTAAAAAAATGAAAAAAAGACTTTCTTTTTCACTGAGATTAGTTTCTTAGCACAGTGAGGATATTTAGAGTATAAAAACAGTCATAAAGAGAAAAGGAAATGAACCCCTAGCATCTTATTCATATGCTAATAACATTAAATAGTAATGCCACATGAAACATTTGGTCATGCTTCACATCTAGGGTTCCATGATCTAGTCCTAAGACCTGAGAGGGTACGGCTGGGGTTGTGCGAAGGCGGCAGCTCTCTGGGTTGGTCAGAGCAGGATCTGGACCTGAGAGAGATCAGGGTTCAGCATAAACCGGAGGTCCTTTCCTTTCCTTTTTCCTTTCTTGTATATGCCCCTAGTGGGAACCGAACCCGGGACTCTCTGGTCCACAGGCCGAGGCTCCAACCGCTGAGCCAAACCGGCCAGGGCGTTAAAAAAGGTGTTTCTAACTGCCAAAGGTCTTAACTACAAATAACCTTTGGGTGTCTATTTGCTTTCTATACTTGTATGCTCCTGGCTCTATCAAAGGGATATAGAATAGATCATTTAAAACAATGTATCAACAATGAAGAATGAAATATGAGACACCCACCCCCAGTCTGCTTTCTAACTTTTTCCCATTGGTTTATGAGATTTAAGTTCCTCAAATACTTTCACAGAATTATATATTTATTCTTGGGTTGAACTAGTTGTCTTTTTGAGAGTTTTCAACTCATTAAAGAATTTTGTAGAAGCACAAAGAAGAGAGTGCCTTCAGAAAGGCTCATTAAAAGGAGAGGCTGACGGAATACCACTAATGTTAGATGCTATAAACTGGTGTAAAATAGAACTAATGTATCACACTCCTTAGTTTCCAGGAATTAAATTGGCCTTATGTTTGGTCCTGGATCAAAGACTAACAAGGCAAGGTATTCACTTGTTTTCGCATAAAAACATCAAAAATTCCTAACCCTCTCCTAAAAGGTGTGAAATTATTTTTCAGTTAAAGCATCTATTGGTACATATCCACACTCTAATAGTGGGGTTTCCAATAGGAAATTGCTCTGTAGTTAATATGAACTTGGGCAGTCATGTAACCTTTGTAAGCCTCCGTTAACTTATCATAAAATGAATGTAACATAGGGTGGTTCTGAGTTTTAAATGAGATGGAATATATAAATCTCTATAGTATCTAATATATAGACATTTAATATATGGTTGTTATGATTGATACTATTGTTATTTGTGGATCAAAGCCTTCTAGGCCATTTTAGAACTCAAGCTTTTATTTTTAATTTTTTGTCTTTTGTTACATTTTTAACATCTTTATTGAGACATAATTCACATACCATAAAATTCAGCCATTTAAAGTATACAATTCAAAAGTAAATTCAGAGTTATGCAACCTTCACAGTCTAAGTTTAAAACATTTTTATCACCACAAAAAGAAACTTTGTGCCTATTAGCGGTCACTCACCGTTCCTCTCCCAACTCCCTACAGTTCCAGGCAATGTGCTTTTTGTATCCAGAGATTTATTAGCCTCGCTGGACATTTCATATGAATGGAATCATACTTTATGTGGTCTTTTGTGACTGGCTTCTTTCGCTTAGCATGAGGTTTTCAAGGTTCATCTATGTTGTAGCATGTGTTAGTATGTCCTTCCTTTTTACGCCTGATAATATTCCTTCTGTTGCTGTATATTGCTGAAAATATACCACATTTTGTTTACTTGTTCATTAACTGGTGGAAATTTGGGTTGTTTCCAAAAATACTACCCCTATGAACATTCATGTTCAGGTTTTTGTGTGGACATAAGCTTTTATTTTCTAGGAATGGAAATGCTGGGTCACATGGTCACTCTATGTTTAACAATTTCAAGACTGCCAAATTGATTTTTAAACTCCATTTTTACATTCCCACCAGCAATGAATAAATGTTGTAATTTCTTCTCTACATTCTCACCCACGCTTTTTATTTTCTGGTGTTTGTATTATAAACTCTCAGTGGGTGTGAAGTGGAATCTCAAAATGGTTTTGATTTGTGTTCCCTTAACGACTAATGATGTTGAGCATCTTTTCAATTGCTTATTGGCCATTTGTATATATTCTTTAGAGAAATGTCTAATCAAATTATTTGCCCATTTTGTAATTGGGTAAATTGTCTTTTATTATTGAGTTGTAAGAGTTCTTTATATATTCTCGATGCAAGTCCCTTATCAGGTACATGTATGATTTACAAGTACTTTCAACCCCTTCTGTGGGTTGTCTTGATAGTACTTTTATTAACTGTTAAATCTAGACTTCTGTGTATTTAACGCTTTCATGCCCTCTTGACTAATTTGCACAAATTCTCTTCCCAGCCTCTATTTCTCTACCTTGCTCTCCAGTCTGTCCATGAGCCCCTTCAGGTCCCTGAGGAATACCTGAAGCCATATGACTTTATCCAAGATAGGAACAGGCAACATTATGCAGGAATGGTGTCCCTTATGGATGAAGCAGTGGGAAATGTCACCGCAGCCTTAAAAAGCCGTGGGCTCTGGAATAACACAGTGTTCATCTTCTCCACAGGTAAGCCTGTCAGTAGGAAAATCATCTCTTGGCAAAGCTTAGGACATGGTATTTGATAAATGGAGTGAAGACAAAGTGGAGCATTTAGCAGTTCCTTGTTAAAATAAATGTTAACTGCAAGAGTGAAGACATGATCATGATGGATAGAAAGATGTGTCTAAGGAAAAAGAAATATGGGCTTCCCCATCTTTCTTCAAATATTAAAATATTCTGGTAGTATGCTTGAAAACAAGCACTTTTTGAGTATGAGTGGACATCACTCATGCACAGGGCAGCTGGGCACTGAATCCTTGGACTGGCTTGTTCTCAGCAATCTCTACAGCCCAGGCTCTGTCAGTAGGACTTCTGCTGACCACAGAGGTCTCTATATCAATGCAAAGAGACAGATTGTGATGTTATGAAGACAGGTAAGAAATGGAGCCATTTAAATCGAGGCTAGAGCCTCCAAGTATAGATATTTTTATATTAAAATTTTCTGACAATAAAAGTTATATACATTTTGGTTATAGGAAAAAAACAAGAAGAAGAAGGAAGAAGAAATTTTTTGAAAATAGTTTTTGTTATGGCGATGTCATTCTGACTTCTAACCTGTTATATATGTGATTCCTACCCCTCCTCATTAGACATAGTTTTCTATAATTTCCCCAGGGATGTACTTGGGTATAGATCTTGGTGTATTCGTTATGCAGAATACTCAGAAAGTACTTTCTATCTGAAAATGCAGATTGTTTTTTATGGGAAATTTTCTTGTATTATTTATTTCAGAATTGTTTGGCCCTCCACCCCGCCTTTCTCTTAGTCTGCCTTCACAAAACTCCTGTTATTTGGATATTGGATTAATCCTCTAATTTTCTCTTTCCTTTTTTTTTAACTCTCCTGTATTTTTTTTCTTCTACTTGGGAAATTTTTTTCTTACTATTTTGTAACCATTCTATTGAATTCATTGTAACTACCATAGTTTTTAATTATCAAGAACTCTTTCTTGTTTTCTGAAAATTCTTTTTTTGTGAATGTTTTTACTTTATGGATATAATTAATAATTTATTTCTCCAAAGCCTATGCTCTTAACTATTATATATATATATATATACACACACACACACATACACATACCATATATATGTGGTGTGTGTATACATACATATATTTTTAGGTTTGCTTATACTCTCAACATTGTCTCTCTTCTAAGGTTGTTTGTGTCTTTGTTTTGGTCTGCCTTTCATGAGGGAGGCTTTCTCAGATACCTAGTGTTCCTTGGCTACAACCTGATAATTTAGCTGGCAACTCCCAGAGTTTGTAACCTAGTGCGTTTTACTGTAAAGTGACTGGGTAAGGGTGTGAAATGGCATGTCGAGGAGTTCATCTGGTTATTGTACTCATAGTTTTTTTTGTTTTTAAGGGTTGCTTTGTTATGCTTTCATCAGACATGATTATTGAATGTAGCATTTACTGTGGACTTACTATTTGCAGGACATAGTTCTAAGTGCTTTACATGAATTCATTCAGTCAATCCTCACAATAATTCTCTTGCAGATGTGAGAACCGAAGCCCAAAGAGGCTAACTTGCCCAAGACCACACAGCCAGGCAGAGCCAGGCATCAGCCTTCCTGGCCCCACTAATCTCCTGCCTCTGGGGTGAGGCAAATGATGGTGTGGCTGTTCTTATTGGACCTCCTGATACAGCAGAGCTTCCCGCAGGGTGTGCTGCCATACCGATCCATACAGGAGCCTGGGCGGGCCAGGGATAGGCCCCTCAGCAGCCTTGTTCAGCTGCTTTACTGCTATGCATGTACTATAATTTTCTAAGTATGCCTTATTATGGAAAGGGTTGCTATAACATTTGCTTTTCCCCAAAAATTTGCTCTTCAGAAAGGAAGGAGATATCTTATACACGCGTCCTTATAAGATCTCTCATATTCTGAGAGTTTCTCAATTGACTTTATGTTGAACAGCCTGGTAAAGCACTTTGATCATTGTTGGTATTGAATGTTTAGAGAGGTCACTCACTAAAAGAATCTATAACAAAAGGCCAAGAGATTTATACTGATTTAGTAATTATTCCTGGGAAATGATCTCACAATTATAAGAATTGGAAGTGATAAGTTTATAAAACCACCTTTATTGTAGAGATCACAATGGTACAATTTAAAGATAAATGATTTCCTGAAACAAAAGTATGTATGTCTTAATGTATCATATACAGACTGAAAGGTGCTGAGACAGAAGAGAAGATGGTAGCTCTGGGAAACTGTAAATATCCCAGAGTGGTTTCTATGGTGACAGATATTGATATCAAGCAGGCACCGGAAGAGGTGGAATAAAATTTTTTTGTGATATGTGAAAGTGTGGAAAGCAATATTTTAAGATCTTTAATTATATGATTTCAAATGTGTATACATAACTATTTATTTATTTTTATCCTCACCCAAGAATATTTTTCTACTTTTGTTCAGATAGAGTGGGAGGGAGAGAGAGAAACATTGATGTGAAAGGGACACATTGAGTGGTTGCCTCCCGTACAACCCCAACCAGGGCCGAGGACGAATTGCAACTGAGGTACATGCCCTTGACTGGACTCTAACTCATGACTCATTGGTTCGTGGGCCAACACTCTAACTGCTGAGCCAAACTGGCCAGGGCTACAGAACTACTTTAAATAGATAGTTGACTATTTCATGCACATCCATATTATATTTATTCAAGTCAGCAGAAATAAATTTTGGAGCTTTTCACTAAGAAAATGGGGATTACCTTATAATAAGGTTGTCTCATATTCTGACACTATGATATATTAATGGATATATTAGTCTTGGGCCATGTTTGCTTTGTTGGGCTAAATCCAACATAATGTATATGCATTTTTATTATTTTGCTGAATTTAATTTGCTAGAGGTTTATTTAGGATTTTTGTATCAATTCAGAAGTGAAAAGTAGGGTTAGTGGCTTTTTTTCCCTCTCTGTCAGAGTTTGTTGTCTTGGTTATATTCATTTAATGAAATAGTTTGGATGTTTTTTCCATTTTTTCTATGCTCTGGAACAGTTTACAGGTTGTTTGAAAGATCTCTCTGGTTAAACTGGTCATTGAAACCTATTTGGGGGGCTTGTTGTTTTTTAATTATCTCCATAGTTTAGATTTCTTGCTGAATTATATCTATGTGTGGGTCTTTAAAATATTTTAAAATTAATTTTGCCTGAAATATAGTGAGTCCTTTGATCTGCATGCTGAGATTAGTTTTCACTCCAGGAAGTTTTCCTTGTACATATTTTAGCTTATTGCTTTTGTTCTGCTTGATTTATTTCTCAAAAATGTCTTTAATTAGTAGCTTGAATTGCTGACTTGGCATTTCTCTCATTTCAGTGTTTTCTCCTTTTTCTCAGTCTTCTGGGTCCAGCTCCTCTGCATTGCCAGTGGGACATTTCCGCAGTTTTAATTCTGCTCTTCACTATCTCCAATGTAGATTACTGACTTTGTTTTCAGTTTCTTTGCCATTCTTTGTTTGCCTCAGTCAGTTCACTTTTCTCCTAAGCTGGTTAGTAATAATAATAGCTACCCGTTACTTAAAGGTTACTCCATGCCCGGGTCCTGTTCTGGTGCTTTTCCTGGACTTTCTCATTGCTGGTCATGTTTTAGCATTAAAGCTCAATGTAACCTTGTGGAATAGGTTTCTTTATCCCCATTTTATAAATGAAGAAATCAAAATTAAGGAGGTTAAGCCCTGGCCAGTTTGGCTCAGCGGTTAGAGCGTCGGCCTGCGGTCCGGAGAGACCCGGGTTCGGTTCCCGCTAAGGGCACGTACTTCGGTTGCAGTTTGTCCCCGGCCCTGGTTGGTCGATGTGTCCCTTCACGTCGATGTTTCTCCTCTCCCTTCCTCTCTCTCCCTCCCTCTCTATCTGTACAAAAAATGGAAAAATAGCCTCGGGTGAGGATAAAAAAAAAAAAAAAATTAAGGAGGTTAAGTGATTTTCCCACAGCCATTGCTACAGTCTGAATGTTGTTCACCCCAAATTCACGTTAGAATACGAATACCCAATGCGATGGCGTCAGAAGGTAGAGCCCTCATGAATGAGATTAGTGCTTTTATAAGAGAGACCCCAGAAGGATCCCCAGCTCAGCCCTTTCCAGGTGAGGACACAGGGAGAAGGCACTGGCAATGAACCAGGAAGAGGGTCCTCACCAAGAGACAATCAGGCTGGTCTTGGTCTTAGACTTCTCAGCCTCCAGAACTATGAGAACTAAACTGCTATTGTCTATATGCCACCCAGTCTGCGGTATTTTGTTATAGCAGCCTGAATGGATGAAGAGAACTACTCATCTAACAAATGGAGGAGCCAGAATTCAAACCCAGATCTTGAGGTCAGTACCTGTTGAGGTCAACCCTAATCAGTTGTGCTTTCACTTGTCATCCTTTTCTTTTACCTCATCCCCTTGTCTGCTTTTGGCTTTCTACACTTCTGTTCATAGAACCCATGCTTTTCCTGAATAGAACTTTTCTAAAGTCTTAGCTTCTGTAGTAAATCGTTACCAGCTATATTCTCTTACTCTGAGGATAGCAGTGAAGGATCTGGCCACACAGTGTGCATGGTCATCTCTTGGCCTATGCTCACCGTTTCCTGGGTAATCCCTTCTCAGATCTATAGCTTGGGGTCAGGTTGAGGCACTCCGCTCACTCAGTTCCCAGTGGCCTGTAGGCATTGAGTTTCCCATACTCTGCCAAACCTGATGACCTGCTTTTGGCTCTTTGGGCTGCCCAGTTCTTTGACATGCTAAAACAGTTCTAACATGCACAGCCTCAGGTTCATTAGGTATAGAAGGCAAGTTGGCCAATTTTCATTCATTCACACAGTCTCTCATTGCAGAAAGATAAATAGGACAGAGTTCCAGTCCTTAGGAAACTCGTAGTCTAGTGAGGCAGACAAGTGAATGCATTATTATGATGTGGTGGAAGAGTGTTTGGATGCAGCCCAGGGTGCTGTGTGCACATGGTAGGAGCGCCTATCAG